GAATATCAATGGAGGAGGAACAAAAGACTTTTTTTTCCCTAAAACAAAAGTGAAGGAAGCCTGGAAAGTGAACCCACTGGCAATGTCCTAGCCATTTCCGATGCCCTGGTGTACCTCATGGGGACATGGCAGCACTCGCTCACCCTCGGCTCTACTTACCTTTGCTTTCTCTATGAACTGATTCAGATGCTTTGCACATGTGAATGTAAACAAGAAAAGTGAAGAGACATTTCTTTGCATGGTAATGGAAGCATTATGAGTTTGCATACACTTGACGTTGTCTAACATGCTCCCTTCCTATCTTGACGAAAACACTGAAATTTAGAAGACCTTTCTTAGTGTATCTAAGACTGTGTTCTTTGTTCTATAGCCACAGAATCCTAACACCTTTTCCAGGCTATGAAACTGTGGGCATACTTTCTAAAAAAAAATCTGCAATGTGTGTCTTTTCAATCACCAAAGTTGTTATTGTAAATCATTCTTACTGCACGGCACAATAAATATGAACAGAATTATAGGTAGTCTAAAGGACTGAGATGAAGCTTTATATATGACATATTTAAGCACTTTTAAATAAAGCCACTATATAATTTTTCTTACACTTGTCATGTTTTAGACATGAAAGAAACAATTTGATATTATGACTTATATTAATTCATAACTGTAAGAGTTATAGCCCTTTGCAAATTTGTTTTAAGTCATTTTTAGTGTTCAACTTGCTGTTATGCTGTTATTTTCCATAAAGTGAGCACTTCAATCTGAACTGAAGTGATTGGGGTGCTAAAATCAAGACAAATCACTCAAAATAAGAGTCTACTGGCCTTCTCCCAGTCCTAGTCCCTTTGACAAGTAATGACATCTGATTGAGAAATCACTATACAAGTGTTCCGGGATAAAAGGGATTCTCCAAGAAACAATCAATTACATTTGATGTCCAGTCCATTCCTACCATAGTGTCCACTCACAGAATTTAGACGTTTTAAACATCCCCAGCAAAAGGGTCTCTTTTAACAAAGGTGTTCAGTCCTTAGTGATATAGAGAGAAATTATTTAAGGCAATGGCTTCTTTTATAAAACTATGTGAATCGGAAAGAATAAGAGGGAGGGATAGAATTGACTGACTATCCTGAGATATTTCTTTAACAACCTCCCATAATTAAGCATTGGAAACTGAAGAATGAAGGACCCCAACGGACTCGCAACATAGTTGTGGTGGGGGCTAGCATGTAAATTAGGAAGAATAATAAAATGTTACCAGTTTGAATAGGAAAAACATGTCTATGGTGAAGTAGAGAAATAAATTCAGAGAGTGATCATTCTACAGGGAAAGGGTGATCATAAATCCTGCAGAGAAAAGGTAACCCCTCATAAAGACAGCAACTTAGGATGTTAATGTCTATTATATAAAACAAAAGCATACTCATGTACTTGTTCTTCATTAGAAAAGTATAAGCACTTAATACTGGCTACATAAGCCTTTACAACTGCTCTGCTACACTAACCTCTGATAATTAATAGCAAAGTATCACCTATAGAAAACCCACTCAGAAGTAAATTCAGTGCTGGTCACTGCTTGCTGTGATTAGCTGATCTAAAAAAAAAAAAATTCTTTGTTACAAGATCATTTACAGCCTCTACACAAGTCAGCCTTGTTCCTACCTCTGATAAAGTTAACTCATCACAAGTCTCTGAGGGAGTTCATAAACTTCTTGTAAAAGTGTGTGTGTGTGTGTGTGTGTGTATGTGTGTGTTATTAGAGATTAAGCCTATGTTGTTTCATGGGTACTACTATGTAAGTACTCCTCTACTGAACTATATCCCCAGCTGGTTTTTTACTTTTTATTTCAAGACAGAATCTCACTAAATTACTCAGGCTTGCCTTAGTTTGTGATCCTCCTGCCTCAGCTTTTCAAGTCGCTGAGATTATAGGCCTGTTCCATGAAATGCGTAGAGAAATGTTTTTATTATAAATTTTCTATAGTAATCCTTAGAGGAAAAACCCGAGTATCTCTAGTAAACCATTTCATCCTCTAGGTAATGTTACAATATCTTCTCTCTTCACTTAATTCCCACTGCACTCACACCCTGTTCTTCCCTCTTGGGATGTCTTGCCAAGAAAAAAAAAAAAAAGAGACAGGTGTTTATATAGCATTGCTTAGGATAGAATGCTGCCTGGCTTGCACCATTCTCTGGGTTCAACCCCAGTGCTACAAAGCAAAGAAAGAATCCATATTTCTCAAGGAGAAGCTTGAATTGAAAAGATCACTGTCTGGAGTCCTTCAAGACCTGCTGTGGCTAGAGTGAGTAAGGACAGCTTGGGCAGCTAAGACTACTGACACACAGATTACACAGAGGGCTGAGGACATGGGACGATGCAAGATACATGAGCTCCTGGTACACATGAGGCTTAAGGTTTTATCTCTAGTGAAGCTAAAATCATAAACAACAACAAAATGTTATTGCAGGGCTGAGAATGATGATTCTAGCAGCTGGCAGAGCTGAAGGGCTTCCACAGGGAGGCCTTGAGGAGGGGAGCATTGACAAGTGTGCTGAGAGCTTCTCTTTTACAGACAGTGTAAACAAGGCAAGAGAGCACCTGATATGGAGGAGTAGGACAAAGGGTGGCAAAACAGGACAGCACTTCACCCACAGCAATCTCTTCTTGGGAGACATTAAAGAGAGGCTGGCTAAGTCAGAAACCTGGGGGAAGAAGTAGACTAAGAATAGTTTGTTGACAGATGCTTTGCTGCCATTGGTCAATGAAGACAAAGAGGTAAGTTGGGAGACTGTAAGGAAGGGGATATTTCAGCAGGGATATGAGAAACTTGGACTTCCACAAATGAAGGAGCTGGGCCAAGCATCTGTGTGTCTCACCCAAGTCTGGGTAGGAAGAATGTACAAGCTCTTCTCTACATGCCAACAAACACAAAGACATTTTTCTAACATGCTTGATTCCTGGGATTACAAGACTAAAGTTGAACCTCAACATTGCCCACCAATTCATATCAAAGACAAACTGATAATGGATGACACTTTCAGTATGATGTTGAAGGAATTGATGCCTTTTAATGGTTATATCAATATGAGCTTCTTACACAGTTCTTTTAAGTTAAGGGAACTTCTGTTTAGTCAGATCAGAATTCATTGTGAAGATCTGGGACCAAATAAAAGCCACAAGTACGCATTATTCCATTCCTGTCTTCTGGGCTTCTCTTTAGTTACTAAGGCATAGTAGCATGGGGCAGAAGATCTGTCATCATCCCCCTGGGGTCTGCAGAGAGGATTATGGTTTTGGAAATTAACTGTTTTACACTCTCCAGTAGAACAAGGTGTTTCCCATCTGTAAAGCTAGCACTCTGACATTAGGGCATGAGGATCAGGAGGATTTCAAGGCCAAGCTTGGGTACATAGCGAAGGCTATGTGAGACCATGTCTTTTGGAAAAAGCAAAACTGTTTTAGGTTGTCAACAACTTGTTACTTTTTCCTTTGGAGACACATCTGCTAACTTCTGGAGGTAAGCAGATAAGAATTCCAACATCGCCATGTTTCAGCCTATGGTAGTACTGCAGAGAATGGAAACCCTATACATCTCAGATGAGTGTATGCCCTGAAGAAAGAAAATTCGAAGTGTTTCCTTGTGTGGATGCTCCCGAGGAAGGTTAATGGCATCCTACACTTGGAGGTCTTGCCTCCAGCTAATACCACTTCTTGCTCTTTCTGGCTTCTCATCAGCTCCAGAGAAACAACAAGGTGCACAGTTACTGCAGAAGGCCTGGTTCAGGTTCCCTTGATCCGCCACACAGAAGACAGCCACGTTTCCAAGAGTAGCACACAGATTCGGAAGAAACGTTAATGAGGTGCTTACAATCGGCATATGGCTTTCAGAAAGAACTTGCCACCTTGCCTGGCCCAAAGCAAAATATGTTCTTTGCAGAAGTAAGAACTAATATTAATCAAAGAGGATATAACCAGGCAATGTAGGTCTTAGAAGCAGCAATAAAATTCAACAGAGAAATTTCCATATATATATATATATAATAATTGTGTATTATTTATAATATATAATATTTTATATATTATATAATATATATAATAATTTAGCAATAACTACATTGTTTTAAATAAAAGGAATAAAAGTTTTGTGTCATTGCCAAAATCTGCAGAAATCAAATTCAGGCATACGGTTGCTATGCTCAGCTTGTTTGTGTATGTTGTGCCGTGTGGTGTGTGTTCCTGTAAGTACAGGAGTGTACAGGTGAGCACTCACATGGAGGCTGCAGACAGAATTGGGGTTTTTGCCACCTTTTCTGCACTCCTTCTTTCTGTTGCAACCGGGTCTCTCAGTGAACTTGAAGCTCATCAGTTTGGCTCTGCAGGCTGTCTAATGAACTGTAGGGACCAGCATGTCACCACCCTGCCAGCACTGGGGTTACAGGAAAGTACCGCCACCATGAGGACCAGAGCTAGGTTCCTTATGCTTGCAAGTCAAACATTTTACCATCTAAGCCACATGATCAGCCCTAAAGTAACCTTTCTATTAGGTAATCAGCACAGAAGAGTAAACACAAAAATGATGGGAAAATTTCTATGCTAGAAACAAACTTTATTACTGCTAAATCATATGAATAGTTTTAATTTCCTTATGTAAGTCAGGATTCTTAGATCTCAGAACCATGTTCATCTATTTACCATGATTTATCACATGACATATGGACACAGATGCATTACTTCATTAATATTTGTGGCCTTTCTTTAGCTAAGGCTCAGAGATCCCTGACATTATAAAGCATAGGCATTTATAACTTTGTGGTTTACATTTTACTCTACTTTTCCATGCTGCTGTGTGCTTAGTATAGCTAACTTTTTAACTAGTGCTTTTCCCCCACCTTCCATTAGCATATCAATCAAATTTGCATTACTTTGCTTTGCTCATTTTATTAAAAGGGAATTCAGGGCACAATTGACTTTTCATTTGTTTAACAAGTGAAGAAATATTTACCCTGACAGCCATTTCATTGTAGAGATTCATCTTCATATTATAATACGCTGCCTGTGAATCAAGAAAAAAGAAAAGATGGCATAGATTTCAGTTACACAAAGACAGTGCAGCCTATTTTTACATATAAAGGATAAGAATCTTTATACATAATACATAATAAGAGTTCTGGGCTTAGAAATGAAATCAAACTTTATATTGAAGAGATGGGCTACCTAATACATAATGCAAGCTTAACCAGAAAAATCTATGGTAGTCAACCTCGGAGCTAATGGAGATATATGATCATAAAATGCTCTCCGCTGAGTTTGATAATCAATGGTGCTCTGCTGAGAATAGAATAACAAAGCAGAAATATTCACAAGTGCTGGTGACACGCCGTATGGTATGATTTATTCACTAGGGTTCTCTTAGCCAAAACTCACAGGAACATAAAAGGAATTCATATTTCAAGACGTCGGGTTTAATGAAAAATTCAAAGAAATGCTGTCTTCAGTCGAAACCGTTCAAGGATACGGATGCAGTGATGGGGCAAAATTGTGCCTTCCAACCATCTACGTGAGATGCTACGTGCTTAGCTGCCTCTTGAGTCAGCCTTGGGAATTTTGTTTCATTTAGTATTCATTTTACCTCCATAAAATCACAAATATAATGATATCACATTACAGCAAATCCCTTGGTAGAGTGAATATTTCCTAAACTCTTAGTTTCCTTCTAAGAAAGACACTCTATCTACTAGTACCCAAATTATGTTATATAGAGAAACATTTAGCAATGTTTCTTATTCTAATGAAAGTACTGTCTTGAATTAAAATTTCTCTAGCTGCTCTTTTAATTAAAAATAAAAATTTCACAGCACTCACAACAGTAAAATTAACAGTAAAAAGCATTTGCATATATATTTTTTCAACATAATATTGCTGACACAGAAACACAACGCTCACCTCAAAGTAGAGAGACAGTTTACTCCGGAGACAACTCTGATTGACCATAGCTTAGGAATGCAGATTTAGGTTACCTCAAATTCCATGTTCCAACATGGTGACAGCTTGATGAAGGTTTTAGTTGCGGAACAAGGAAAGTTGTAAAGCAAGGCACTTTTAGAACAACACATTGGTGAGTACATTAGGTGGCAGGGTCACAGCCAAGCAGAGAAACCCTAACTATAGGCCTCCGGTATCTGGGTGCACCCTGAGCCTGTGGTTGGTGGAGACCAGAGGCTCTTTAGCACACTCTGAAAGGTTCTGCATGTTTGTCAAAAGGATGTTAGGTCAGACACGGAGGTGGGCAAATAAAGATGACTAAGGAGTCTGAAGAGGCCAATCATAGATGTAACTATGCTCTGGACCTGCAGTGTTGCAGCCTCCGCACACTCACTGCTGCTCTGACCAGCTCACCAGCCTTGCAGAACAGCCAGAGGAAGGCGTGCTTCCTTCCAACCACGTTCCCTTATGATATCCAACCTCACACAATTTCCTCCAATCAGAAGTCATGCAACTAACAGAACTTCACCCTAGCTTGTGACTATCAAGTTTCCTGGATAGAAAAATAAACTGAGTCCTCTCTCAGGGGCACTTCTTTGTCATGACAGACAAGTCAGACAGGAGTCCACACAAAGGCTTTCCCATAATTCGCCTGTGTGAGTGGCCTGGTGTGATCCAGGGCAGACTGTGAAGAGCTGCTGGGATGTGTGGCTCACCAACAGCCTGAGTAATTACAAGATGGTGGGCTGCCCTGTGTTGCCAACATTACTGCTCTTAACCTCTCTAACTTCCTTAAAACAAATGAGGCATTCTTCCTGTCATATGAGGTGAATTAAAACACTAATTTCATATTATATTTATTCAAGTCATACTGAAGCTGACATTGCATGAAATGGATATATGTGTTTGTTTCTATATGTGTTTTAATATAATAGTTTTTCTTTTAATTAAAAATAAAAAAAATTCAGAGCTCAAAACAGTAAAACATGGTAAAAGCATTCACATGTGTACTTTTTTCCTCAATATAATATTGTCAACACAAAAATACAACTCTCACCTCATGAAAAAATTATTATTGGAAACTATTTTTTCAAGCAGAAAAAGTTGTACTTGCCTGCATATATACCAGTGCTATCTGAAAGTACTGTGTGTGCATGACTTTGTTTTGTAAGTGACCTTTATGTGTGGTGGTTCATGATGACATCAGAGGACAACCTGTGGACAAAGTCAGCGCTCTCCTTTAGCCCAAGGATATACAAGTCTGTCTTCATGCTTGGTGGCAAGTACCTTACCCACTGGCACTTGACTTTATTTTATCACCTGTTTGGCTTTGGGAAGAGTTTAAGTCTCCTGGTCTAGACTTCCATTCTTTAAAAAGGTGTTATATGCTTCCTTGAGCTAGTGTGAAATCAAAAGAGAAAAAATAATTAAGGCGCTGGGGACATAGTTGATAGGAAAGGGATTCACAGCTATGTGTGTGGAGGTTAAACACTTAACTGCATAAACGAATGAAGTTTTTTATGAACTAAATGGGGAGAGGTGGCTTTTGAGCCCAACAATTGTGAAGTCTATATTTCAAAGACATTGCTACCGTGAGCCTGCTCACGTGCCCCAGGCATGTTTATCTTTTACAGCAGGATGCCTGCAAGTTGAGCATCTTCACATGGATGGCCAAAACTGCTTTGTTGTAAGATGGCAGCCAGAGTGAGCAGGGCACACACTTTCACTTCATTATAATCTTACCTACTAGCTAAACAGTTCTGAACAGTTCTGACAGTAGACAGCTACCTCGAAGAAGGGCAGAAAATACCTTGTTTAAAGGAGCAGGAGGCAGGACCTGAATTCTCAGAAAAGACGTGATCATCCCCAATCTAATTTCTGTTACTCCATGTCTAGGATCTATCACCCTCAAAGGATCAGGGCAGCTTGGTTTTCAAGCTTATGTCTCCTGCTCTTGGCCAATAATAAAAGCCTCCCTAGATTTCCACATTCCTACTCTCATGTGAGCCACTAATGGATTCTATGTGAGTTCCAGAGCTTTGAATCCAGAGCTCTGATCCAAGAGCTTTGAAAATAACCTCCAAACAGTATCAGATACCAATATCACATGGTTCCCTTAAGATCCCAAACCTACAAAAGTTGAGCAAAGAGACAAACACCAGAAAGGTGGTGACCCTAACCAGATATTAAGAAATGCTCTGGAGACAAAATAGAGACAGTTGTACAAAAACAAAATGGATGAGTTCAGAAAGATGGCTCAGCTGTTAGGGGCCCATACCACCCTTCCAGAGGACCTGATTTGGTACTTCCCAGCCCCTCCACTGCTGTGGTTTCAGGTCAAGGTGATCAAACACCCTCTTCCGTCTTGTGCGCAACTCACATGCACACACCCAACAACACACAAGCACACACCATGAAAAGTTAAGTGTCTTCAGTGCCTCATCTAAAGTCAATAAACGTTCCTTTTCTTGTTATTCAGTTAAATGTTCCATCAAACATTAATCCTTTGTAGGAAATGTAGAATGGTTAACTATATATTAACGTCGTGAGCCTTGAATCTCAAGCAATATAGTAAATAATTTTTTTATAATTTAAACAATGTTTTAAAACAAAATTATCTTTATGAGTTAAATTGTTCTACCATAAAGCTATAAATACACATGTCACTGACTAGATGGCCACAATTTAAAAGATAAGATTAAGTTACATAAATTTCTTTCACAACAATGTATCAAAGTAATCATAAATTACAACAGCCTTTATAATTTCAAACTGATCTCAGGCTATGTTTTATTAAAAAGAAGAGTAGTTGATATAGAGCATAATATTAATTTCATAATGGCAAAGTATAGAAAAGGGTAATTTTAAAAATAAATCAATTTGTGTAAAAACTGTCCGGTATAGTTTATACTGGTAAGTCCTATCAGAGCACTTGTCCTGCTTCTATTGCCTGGAGAATTATCTTAATCAGGCATGGTGATGAACATCTATAGGACATGGCCTGATTAGGATACTCAAGAGGCTGACAGGGGGAACAAAGTTTTCAGGCCTTCACAGACTAGTAGCACAGTGAAACCTAGTCTCAAAATATATACATAAAAAAATAAGGAAAGGTATTTTTATTCAACTATATCTACAACAATGTACAGTAAGAATAAACTATATAGAGATTCCACGGTTGAAGAGAAAAAGAAAAAAGTAAGGAAAGCCACTTAATACTCGTTAAAAACAATCCCCCAAGAGAATGTAAAAATTCTAAACCTGTCTGTATATACCAAACACAGGTGAACACAATCTCATAAAGGAAATACTACTAGATTGGAGAATACTGATGAAACCAAACATGTCAATACTAGGGAACTCTGACATCCATTCTCACCATTAAACAGGCCTGGACAAAAACTCAACAGACATCATAAATCAAATAGACCTCACAGAAATCTAACTCTAACAAAATGCTAAAAGACTATACATTACTCTCATCAGCCCATGGAACTGTCGTCAAATTGACCATGTATTGGGACACACAAAAGTCTTCATAAATACAGAAAAGTTGAAATAACACCATGTATTCTATCTGATCACATGGAATATAGCAAGCAAGTGATTGACAGAAATAGAAAATACAGAAACTACACAAACTCATGGAGATTAAGCAACACACTACTGAAAAATAGAATAGGGTCAAGGAAGAAATAAGGAAGGCAATTTCATAAGTCTTAGAGCTGAATAAAAATTGAACATACCAGGGTTGGAGAGATGGCTCAGAAGTTAGGAGCACTGTGGCTCTTCCAGAGGATCTGGGTTCAATTCCCAGCACCCACAAGGCAGCTCACAACCGTCTGTAACTCTTGTTCCAGGGGCTCTACGCCCTCACCTAGACATGCATGTGGGTAAAACACCATTGTATATAAAATACAAATAAATTATAAAAATTCTGATAAATTCTTAAGAAAAATAAAAGTTATATATTATTGGTCTAGTGCCCACACAGATTTAAAATATACAGTCTCAATTCTTTAAACTTACCTATATCTACAGAGAAAGAAAAGAAAAATCAACATTCCACAA